ATATATGTGTGTGTGTGTGTGTGTGTGTGTGTGTGTGTGTGTGTACGTTATGTGCCATGTGAGATACACGCTTGGGCGATCATATATCTTGCAATACATTACCGACGACGCAGATTTTTCCCCCGCAGTAGGTTGCCATTTCTTTCTGCGGTAGACTAGTTGCCTTCAAGGCTACAGAACCCGGTCTGACCTGCTATTTACCCATAGCTGGGAGGAGAATAGGAATCATACCTTTCCCAGGGGAATAAGCACGTAAGTGAATTTAATGGATTCGAGTGGAATTCAAACTCGGCTCTCCGATTGCTCAATTATCCATTACTCCACAGTGAAAAGTGTACGTATAAGTGTTTTCTTTTCTGGACATAAAGTTTGTAGAAATTGTCCAAATGTTCTGCGCTTTCGGCTATTCTTTTAGCCGTCATCAATGATGTTTTTTTATTTAACTGAATATGTAGATTTTTAAAAATACTTTTTCTAGAATGACGGAAATATTTAATTATTTTCCAAACATAGTCAGCACATTGTGGCTGTGTTCATAGTTGGTGTTATTGTTGTGATATGGTTTCTATTATTTGGTAAAGTTCTGATCCTGTAGCGCCAATTCGCAATGTTTAAAGAAGGTTGACCCTCAGGCTTTACATGCTAAAAGCCTTTTCTCACCGTTGATCTTAGAAATCGGTTGTATGCAGGTGACAATTTAAATATTTCTCAACGTGTTTGATGCCATGCATGGCATCCGAATGATAGTCTTGATCTGATGAGTTTATACGAGAACATAACCTGAGTTTTCAGGTTGTTTTGGTTTAGTAGCAATATGCTGTATTGGACGATACTACCTGAGGCACAGCCTATTCTATGTTCAATTTCCTTTTCCCCTATACTTATTTTTTTATAATTGATGCATACGCCGAGGTATTTATTAATTCTAAATCCTGAAATTTTATGATGGATTCAGGCTATGTACGATCACTGCTTACATTCGTATTAAAGATAGTTTCTGTTATCGAATAGATTATCTTGAGCCCTATTTCTTGGAAGACTTGGTAGAGGATGTTGATTTTACCATACTCCCAAATATAAATATCTATGTCATTTATATCCCTGCCATCATCAGTACATTGGTCTCAGGAGGGAAAGCCGGATCGTTGTCTTGTATTACTCGAATCGTTTGCGCTGTGGAATAGAATAAGTAAATGGACAGTGCGCATCTGATTATATGTGTTTATAAATGTGTAGGACACGTAAGGTTGTAAATTAGACATCCCCCGACAAGAAGGCATAAACGATTTTGAATTTTATGAAGGATCGAAAATGGGGACTGAGCAACTCCAGCTAAGATATAACAACCTTTTTTCAATTTTTGCTCTCATCTGACTCTTGCATTGCAGAAGTATTTGGGTATGTTCTAAAGCGATAGAATAAGCCGACAATTTCTCCAGAATCTTCAACAATTAATAATATACAAGGTGCGATGTGTAAATTGTCACTATTTTATATTTTTAATTTCGCGCATGCGCGCTGTTTCTTTTTAATTTTGCTGTGTACACAGTATAGCAGGGTCAGTTGGACATTGTCTGTGAGAAAAAAATCACAATGACGCAATTCACTCCGCCAGAAATTTGGAAACGGCTTGCTGTACTGCTTGGCATTTGCGCCGGAAACTCCAATACGAACCCACCAGAATGTTTGGGTGTCAATATAAGGACAGTGCCGAGGATTCAGAAAGTGTTGGATGAGTCTAATGGTGATTACGAATGTATGGCTGCTCGGTAAACTCACTCTGATAGTTATGATAAGAAAGGATCTCACAAATTTGTCGCTGAAGGCCTGAGACTCAACATGGAGGTATACATCAAGTGCCTTGAGAAGGTAGTGTTGCCTGGGTCAAGTGTGTGGCTGTTGGAAGAATTATATCTATCAAAAGGACTCTGCACCATGTCACAGTAGCAGGAGGACCTAAATCATAGCTGTTAGACAATTTCTGCGACCACATCATCCCTTACATCTGGTCACCTAACTCCCCAGATTGCAGCCCCCCTCCTTGATTATTATGTTTGGGGCGGAGTTGAGCGATAGATCAGCAAAACGCCTTGTAACACCAAAGATGAACTGAAGGTAAGGATTCAGGATTCAACAACTTAAGCAAAGAGACCACCCAGAATTATTGCAGGAGATTCCGAAATCGTATGGAATCTGTGGTAGAAGTCAATGCCGGTTTTAATGAATAAATTTACTCTTTTGTATTTCAAGATATTTTTGTATAATGCTGGGAAATATATCTGTTAAAATCAGATGTCAATGTTATTTTCCTTTTTGCATAACTTAGACGACAATTTATCGCACTAGGTCTGCGGCGAACTTGAGTCCGAAGAGAAGTTCAAAGCATGAAACCTCGTGGCGAGTACAACCGATGATACTGGTTGGTGAAAACACGGGATCAGATCGGTGAGGAGGAAACGATACGAGCTAGGTTTTAGAAGTATTCAAAGTTACATGTCAATTTTTTCTCGACTGAGATTATAGTTATCAGGGAAGCATAGGCCAAAAGTTTGGAGCCATCCACTCGATTTTGAATAATTGCCTAAAACGATTTTAAGCCCTATCAAGGCTGGAAAGAGAACACTGAACAGCTAAGATTTTACAAGAATGCTCCATTTTTGGTCTCCTCTCACTCTTGATAAAACATGGAAGAAAGAGACTATTTTCTGGAACGATAGACCATGTTTGCCAGCATCTTTAGCAATGCATCGTATATATGAGTTCGAGTTGCGGTCTTCAGTGAATATGAGACCCAGTAGACATTCAAAGAATGGTGCCTGATTGGAACAGCAACCGTACATCCTTACTGGCTTGCTAGTAACACAAGACATAAAATTGCACATTCCTGGTCATCATTGAAAGAATTGAGAAAGTCCTTTGTCCAGAAGATTACTAGCAATAAATGATGATGATGATTCTATTACGTAATTTAAATCTTACTTGATATTATTTAAGAGGATTTCAACTTGACTTTCTTTCCTTTGAATTCAATATTGCCAATCAGCATCTCTTAA